TCAGTCGGGCTTCACACGTCCCGGAGCTCCACAACCTTGAGTTTTACGGGATTCAAGGGGAGGTTCTACGCAGTGTTATGACGTTTTTGTCAGACAGAGCATTCTGAGTGAAAGTAGGCTTGACCTGCTCTTCATCGGCACCGGTCCCCATTAGAATTCCGCAAGGCTCGGCTTTTGGACCGCTGCTGTTTCTTATCTGCGTCAAAGGCCTTCCAGGTGTTCTTTCGAGTCCACATCTACTTTTTGCGGGCGACTGAAAATCCTGGTGCTCAATTGTCAGTGCCCTGTAAAGGGAAGCATACACTGCAAAGCAGTGAGCACTGGACTATCACCTTCTTCTGAATAACAAAAAGTCCGGAGGAGACCGAGCGAAGCCTTTGTTGTGCACGGTGATAATGGACCAGAAGACATTACAAGGATAGATGCTAAAAAGGGTTTTGGTGTCTGGTTCCCTTCGAACATGTCATCCACATTGCACCATGAAGATTTGACTCGGAAGGCATCCGCCGTCCTACAGATGGTTCGGCCAACCTCCCCCATATTACTCCATAGATTTCCAGAAACCCTATAGGACCCACTTCATACCACTTCTTGAACAAGCTAAACAAGTTATTTACTCGGAACGCAAACAAAACATAACCCTCCTTGTGCAAGCACAACGGGCGCTAGGAAGATGGTTGCTGGCAATAAATCCAAGGATTCACGGATTCACGGGCTCATACATAGGATGAGGGATTTGCCCAATGTCCGGGGTCGATTTTGTTTTTGTCGTTCAGCGGCTGTCTTTCGCCTGAAAGGCACAAGTGAAAAATGAGCGTGGCACTGCTCTTTATGTTCCCAGCGCAGGGCAGTATGCTTGCCATTGCGGGGGTTTACATAAATAAACGTTTAATATAGCTGTTAACTGGTTTCCAGAGGGAGCGTGCAAAACTGTTGGTGGACGGTCGTTCCACGAAGCTACTACCCGAAATGAGGAAAACTTTTGCCTTATGAATGTGTGCGCTCTGAGCTTGGAAATTTTCTTACCATGTCACCGCCGTTTGTTTGCTGGGTCAGCAGTGGAATCATGTTGTCCTAGCTTTGTTCAAGCAGAGTACATGCAAGAATCAGGTCCACGCGGAGGCGACGATACTCTAGAGAGAAATGATCAAACATCGCATGACGCGTTTCGTAGAACACGGGCTATGGATACGCGTACTGTGAAACGCATCGCGCCCACTTCCCCTGGAGTAGCCTCGCTTCCGAGAAGACCTAATTATCGCTCATATCCTGCTTGAAAATTGTTTGGCCAACAGGTTTTCCAACGTTGAACTAACCACCACACAGCGACTTCCCCTGAGCCTCGCTTCCGAGAAGACCTAATTATCGCTCATATCCTGCTTGAAAATTGTTTGGCCAACAGGTTTTCCAACGTTGAATGAACCACCACACAGCGGAGAAATCATCATCATCATCGACACCATGACATCAGTGTTCAACACCGATGCTTCACTGCCGTACAACTGACTTATTTGAAAGCCTTTTTGTAAATAAAAGAATGAAGGTGGACGGGGAGGGACTTAGTGCTAGCTTAACACAATTATTCCGAGGTGCTTACACCTCCAGACATTCACTCGGACGATCTGGATAGAAATTGTCAACCATAACGCCACTAACATCGCTTGGCAGCCATATCTTGTAGTGTCTCCAACCAGGC